TCTCTCTTTCCAAAAAAAAAAAAAAAAATCAAATGAGAGAAAATGTGGGAAGACATTTGTCAACTGCAGGGTCCTTCACAAATGGAAGTTATCAGCTTTGAGTGGTTTCTTTCAGCATCTTGTACAAACCAGCCACAAAAGTACTACCTCTCCTGGCTATAGTGAAGCTACAGTCTGAATACAGGGGTGCATCTGTACTTCAAGTCACAATTATCCATCCAGCACAACCCGGTGCCAGAAACCGGAATTCTGGTCCATTATTCACTTACTAAACTTTTTTTTTTTTTTTAAGATTTTATTTATTTATTTGAGAGAGAGAGAATGAGAGAGAGCACATGAGAGGGGGGAGGGTCAGAGGGAGAAGCAGACTCCCTGCCGAGCAGGGAGCCAGATGTGGGACTCGATCCAGGGACTCCAGGATCATGACCTGAGCCGAAGGCAGTCGCTTAACCAACTGAGCCACCCAGGCGCCCCTCACTTACTAAACTTTTATCTAAAGCACAAGACCCAAGAATTCAAAACAACACCATTTTAATTCAGAATTATCCTTCATAATCCTTCAAAAAAAAAAAACCCCACAAGAGATTGCCTCATTATCCAGCATTATAAGACCAATTTTATCACTTTGTGATCATCTATTGCCAGCACTTTTTATTTTTATGAGGCCTTCTTTCCAATGTATGTGGCACCTAAGCCTAATTTGTTCTAATTTTGGATCCACAAATATAAACCTCACATAGCATTTCACTTACCTCTGAAATAAAGTTATCACTGCAGTTTTAAATTCTTTCCTCTAACACATTATTGTTTGTTGAATTGTTGATCTTACATGGAAAATTAAAATATTAGCTTTCAAGTCCTTTACATTAAAATGTCATTTGTTAATTTGCATTAAATAGCTGGCATCATGGGCCCACTGAGAATTAATTTTGCTTCTAGCTGTTACTAATTATTAGCATTTTTTATCCTTGGCCTTCAAGTATTTGTTTGGATACCCTACTTTCGTAGCTGTTCCAAGTCGTAAGTCATCAGGGAGGAAGCAATTAAGCCACCAGATTGCCCTAATGGTGTTCATCCTGGGAGACCATTCATATTATGAACTAGAGTTTGTGTTTTAACAACTGGTAAAGATCAATCTGTTTAAATATTAAGAATTAAGATACAAAGACTTCCCGATTTTATGTATAAAAATCCAGAGTCTTCTCCTTGACCTTGGACTTCTGGCATAGAGAACTTAACTGAGGGGGAACTGGACTGAGGAGGATGTCCATTTCTCCCTCAAACACAGAGAAATCCTGGGTAGATATTACAAAATACTTTGAAGTACACTGTCAAGTTCAAACATAAGAGAAATTTTCCCAGGCTGCCAGAAACTAAGTGGAAGCCTGCAGAGACATGATACTGTGTAATGTGGATCTTGAACATGGACCCTAACACCTGAGGGTCAGGGTTCTAGTGACCATGTTGGGAGAAATAGTGAGGCCTTGGACACCTGGGAGCTAGAGATAACTGAAGTGCTAGCACCTTTGGAGTTCTTCTGCTCCCTCAGAAAGTTATTCTGTTATCAGAAATGGGGTAGATTTAGTTATGTAGAGCGTCTAACACATTTCCCCAAAACGTTTTAGCTTAAAACAACAAACATTTATTATCTCACAGTTTCTGTAGGTCAGGCATCTGGGTATGGCTTAGCTGGGCCCTCTGACTCAGGGTCCCTCACAAAGCTGCAATTGAAGTGTCAAGTGGGGGTAGATCTGCCTCCAGGCTCACTCATGTGGCTGTTGGCAGGATTCAGTTCCTCATACACTGTTGGCTTGAGGGCCTCAGTTTATTGTTGGGTATTGGCCTCATCCCCGGCTCTCCCTTTAGGACAGCTTGAAACATGGCAGCCTACTTCCAACAGAGCAAACAAGCAAGAGAGTGAGAGAGGAGAAGCAAGATGGAAGCCGAAATCTTTCTATAAGCAATCTCAGGAGTGGCATCTCATTATTTTTGCTGCATTCTGTTTGTTTGTTAGGTCCAGCTCATGTTCAAGGGGTGGGAATTACACAAGGGCATGAATACCAGGAGTCAGAGATGATTGGGAGTCATCTTAGAAACTGCTTAACATAGTTATTGGTCTGGACCCATATGTTCTTGCCCAGAAGTGGGGTTATTAGAACCTAAATTTTGGAGGAGGATCCTTGCAGACCTAAGACACGGAGGTCGAAGGAAGAAGTGCTACCCAGCTGATATTGGTATCTTGGGTGACTCTGGCACTGGTGGTAGAAAAAGAAGCTAGAAACTAGAGCCATTGCATCACTGAGATGATGAACCATTGCCAAAATGATGCTTCAGGAACAGTGAGCAAACAGGAAGCCTTTCCTCTCTCCTCCTGCCTTCTATTCTCACTGTGAGGCCCCTTTGGCAAAAGCTGAAAGATAGCCAGATGGTGGAGGGGAACTACAGCTTGCAGAATCCCATCCCTGGCATCAGAAACAGAGTATGGAAGCAGGAGGTTAAAGCCAAGAGCCCATACCTGAATAACCGGCACAAACGGCAATAAAGAATAACTTCTTACTGGCCTAAGAAAGTGGCGCCAGGGTGGCTCAAACAATTAAGCATCCAACTCTTGCTTTTGACTCAAGTCATGATCTCAGTGTTGTGAGATCAAGCCCAGCATCAGGCTGAGCATGGGTTCCACGCTCAGCATGGAATCTGCTTGAGATTCTCTGCCTCTCCCTGCCTCGAGCACGAGAGTGCTCTCTCTCTCTCAAATAAATAAATAAATAAATAAATAAATAAAAAGAAAGTGGCAAGGCTTATCTCAACCTAGGCATCTGGGTGAAAAATAATATTAAAGTCTCCAATGAAAAATCAAAACAGTAATTTTGTACATGGCATAGATGTGGGGTCTAAATGTACACTATCCAAATAATACAGGGATCTCAACAAGTAACAAAAATCTCAGAAAAGTGAACCCCATGGTTACCAGCAGGAACAAACGTTACAACACTCAGCAGGGGCTCTTCTATAACTCAGGGCACTTAGGCCTCCTACGGAAAGAAATAAACCTCCACTACAGATGAGCTCATTGTCAAAAATTAAAGAACAGAAGAGGATCTGGTTCACCATAATGGTGATTCAGCAATTACGAAAGCAGAAAAGAAAGAAAGATAACAGAAGCTGCAGAGTCAAGAGCGTGAGAGATTAGAAAAGTCCTAAAGAGATCATAAAGCATATCTGTTAAAAAGGATAAAAGAGAAGACAGATGAAAGATAAAAGAAAATAATCATAATGAAAAACACAGGAAAACATGGGGGGAGAGAGGTAGATTTTTCCGAGCGAAAAGGAAAAAGAAATATGACCATTAAAATTAAAGTTAGTTGTCAGGTTAAATAGATAAAACTGAAGATAGAATTTACCAACGGGAAGCTCTAGATCCGAACAAATTATTCAGAATGCAGCACAGAGAGATAAAGAGGTCTTTTCCAGAAATGAAGGGGGAGTGGATCTCTAGTTGAAAATGGCAGCTTTAATATAAACAGCTTTAATATAAACATTTATCACCTTTGCTTCCTGAAAATTCCATTCAGGTGGTAGTGATAAAAAAAAGGAGGAACTCAAAAGGACAAATGGAATGGGAGAGAAGATGCAGTAATAAAACATGAATAATAAACATTTAGCCCATGGAAAACTCAAATCTAAGCTAACAATGGCAAAACCTGAATGCAGGCTGGTTCCTGCTGCGAAGCCTCTGGTACCTCTTGAGAGCAGGGGTGAGTGTAGACCTCAGAATAGAACTGGCAGGAAGACTGAATCAGAGAAGGTTGGATCCAGTTCTCCTCTCATTCCTTTGCAGAAAGCTCTGAGACTCTGGATTCAGAAAAACCCAGCTCCACCTCGGGCAAGGACCAGGCTTAATAAATGAGGGAGTAAGTGAAATTCTGCATACTGCAAGATGGGCTCCAGGCCCCCACCTACATTTGAGGTTAAGAACCTTGACAGTGGAGGTCTGCCCCTCGGAAGGGAAAGTGCACAATGTGCCCTTTGAAAAACTGAGCAGCCTCAGAAAAAGCATCTACTCTTTTTTATACAAAATACTTTCCTCCAATGTCTGGTAATTTTTGGCTGGGTTCGTATTTAAGACTGACGGTTTAAAAGTTCATCAGAAGCTCTGTGTGTCAAAAAGAGGAGAGGAGAGGGGATGAGAGCAGGGGAAGGAAGGGAAGACTAGGGAAGACTAGGGAAGGGAAGAGAAGAAGAAAGCAACGAACAGAAGCAGAAGAAATAGAAAAAGAAGAAGCAAAAACAAAACCCACAACTATAACTAATATCCTCAGAGTTATAAGAGAAAACAGCACATACATTAAACAAGAATGGGACACAATCAAAAAGGAAACAACCGGGGCACAAAAATAATTTCTTGGAGAATGAAAATATGACAGTAGAAAGAAAAACTTCCATGACAAGTTTGAAAGATGATGGAAGGAAGAGAAAGGCATCAAGGAAATTAATTTTTTATTTTTTTATTTTTTTTAAAGATTTTTATTTATTTATTTGACAGAGAGAAACACAGCGAGAGAGGGAACACAAGCAGGAGGAGCGGGGGAGGGAGAAGCAGGCTTCCAGCTGAGCAGGGAGCCTGATGCGGGGCTCGATCCCAGGACCCTGGGATCATGACCTGAGCCGAAGGCAGACGCTTAACGACTGAGCCACCCAGGCGCCCCAAGGAAATTAATTTTTTTTAAAAAGAGCTAATTCCGTCAGGTGGATATTGTGTTATAGCAATATGGAGGCAAATACCAGAAGAAAGAAATAAAAGAGTTGGAAATGGTTGGGGCGCCTGGGTGGCTCAGTCGGTTAAGCGTCTGCCTTCGGCTCAGGTCATGATCCCAGCGTCCTGGGATTGAGCCCTGCCTCGGGTTCCCTGCTCAGCGGGGAGTCTGCTTCTCCCTCTCCCACCTACTGTTCCCCCAGCTTGTGCTCTCTTGCTCTCTCTGTCAAATAAATAAACAAAATCTTAAAAAAAAAAAAAAAAGAGTTGGAAATGGCTGCGTTTGGAAGCTGAAATCTACTGTGAGGCAGGGACTCTTCCCTATGTTGTCACGAGTCTTATAGAACCATTTTGCTTTAAATATTGTACATATAGTACTTTAACAAAAATGAATTTTTAAAAAATTAATTTTAAACTACATGTATATAAACACATGTGCGTCCGTGCATATGTGTGTGTATACATATGTTTATAAAAGCATCATTAGAATTCATGAAGAATAAAATGAGAAAGTCCAACATGCCTAGAAAATAGTTTCAGAAGAAGAAATAGAGAAAATGGGGCAGATATAACATTTTAAAAGATACTAGGTAAGAACTTGGAGTTTTTAGAGAAATTCATGCCGTTTGGATTAAAAAAGCTCTCCAACTCTGCAGCAAGATAAAGCCAAGTGCACATATTGTAAAAGATTGCTTTCCCTGTGTTCTGTATTTTACTTAATCGTGAGCTTGTCTCCCGTGGGACTCGCACCTTCTCTGGGTTGTGGAAATGTCCCTGCAGAGTGGTTTAGCCTTTGTTTTGCTGAGAATCCCAAAGGTTTGCTGCCCTGGCGTGTTTTAAACTAATCTCTTGGCTTGGGATTCCTCAACCACATGAATAGTGTATGTTTGGACGCTGTGTCAGGCCACTTTATGGAAAAGATTTACTTTCTCTTGGGAGGCCTATAATTTTTTCCATTCCCCACGCAGACGCCCAGGCTCGGTTTCAAAATTGAAGGAGTGAGTAACTATGGAAAATATTGTTGAAATTTGTGGAAAGGTCAAGTAAGAGGAGTCTTGAGACCGTCGGCTTACCAGATCTAGATTATTGTTGAACTTGTCCGGCAGACGCCTGCACATACAGAAACTCTAACATAATATAATATATGATATAATATACAGACGGTTTGAAAGGAAAGGAATGGAAAAGACACACCAAGCTAAAAATAAGGAAAAGGAAGTTGGCATGGCAATGATGATATCAGAAAAGTAGCCTTAAGGTGGACTTCTGTCCTGAAGGCACTGATCGCCCAGGAGCCCCAGGAGATGGGAACGTCCTCCATTTATAATCCAGCAAGTGTTTGCAGTGGCTGCCTGACCAGCCTGCCCCTCACTCCCAGCCGGGTCTCTCTTCCTTCTCCCCTCTGTCCGCAATGCTGACGTCTGTTTCTGCGTGCACCACTCGCCTGAAACCCCACACCAATGCCTCAGTGCTATTAAATACAACAGCCTATGGACTCTGAGAAACAAACTGAGGGTCCTAGAGGGGAGGGGGGTGGGAGGATGGGTTAGCCTGGTGATGGGTATTAAAGAGGGCACATTCTGCATGGAGCACTGGGTGTTATGCACAAACAATGAATCATGGAACACACATCAAAAACGAATGATGCAATGTATGGTGATTAACATAACATAATAAAATAAAATTTAAAAAAAAGAACTATAAATACTACAGCCATTCTTCCCTCCTTATCTCGTCTGTCCTGGAGGCAGGGTTTGGCCATCATCTTCCTCTGTCTTCCATGGGCTTTGGCGCCTCCACTCTCTTCCCAGTTTTCTCCCTAGCTCTCTTCAGTCTGTTTCCTTCAATCCTTTTCTTCTGCGGGCCTCTTCAAAATGTTGCTCAGCCGCCTTCCCTGGAGCCCTCTGTGCTCATGGGAGGAATTCCGTACAAACCCAGGGCTTCCGTGAGCGCTGAATGCTGGGGTCTCCCAAACCTGGATGTCTGTCCGGGACTCACCAATAAAACCCTCTTTGTGGATGTTTTAGCAAGTATTCAAACTGACTACATTGTTTGTGTCCCCCAGCCAAGTTCCCACACCCTCCTCCCTAGTCCTCGGGGTCCACCCAGCCCCCAAACTGCTCTCTTTTCTGTTCTCAGTTGGAAATGTCCTACCTTCCTCCTAGAGACACATAAAATGAGGGACCTGGGCGTTCCTCAGACTGCTTCTTCATCAACACACATCCAAGCCAGGGGATCAGATCCTTACAATCTACCTAGTTATAGCTCTTACAAATAATATATAATACAAATAAACAAATAATATTAAAAATAGAAAATACGAAAGCCCAACAGAATATCATTATTAATTAAAAATTTTTAAAGAGGAGGGAGAGGGGCTTTCATTAATAAATATTAAAACATATTTTAAAGCTATAATAATTGAAAAGCATTGTATGGTGCAAGAAGTAAACAGATGAGTGGAAAAGGAGAGGTAAACGTGAAACAAATCCTGGAAATATACAAAGGCTATTGATTTTTCAATAAACGGAACTAGAAGAAAATCAGGTACAGAAACCCACATACGAAAATAGGTTGCTGATGTCTTCAAGAATTAAATATGCAAGAGACAAGAAACTCAAGAAAATATGGGAGAAAAATTAGTCTGCATGAAGAATCGTTTTCTCGTCAACGAAAAAGCAATTGAAGAAGTTTCAACAACACAATCCACAGATTTGATGTCATAAAACTGTAAACCCAGCATGTCAGGAACTCAATAATATAATTCACACATAAACAATAAGCTGGTTTTTTAATAAGTAGGAGCCAAAGGCCAAAATACATCCGAGCTCTACGTTGAAAAGACCTGCCTGTGGGCATCTTGCCGTGGTGGGATCCCTCAGCCTATTCGCCCCTGGCCCCGGGTGGCATTAGCCTCACGGTCTCCAAACTAAATGCACAGACTGCCCTGCGGAGAGCAAGCCCAGAAGAGAGATTGTCCTAATAAAGCTGAGCCGGTTTCCCTTGGGGATTATTTCATCCTTTCATCACTGAAATGTTGAAGAACTTTCACACTGGCTTCTGGATCAACGTTTAAAACTTCTCAGCCTTAAGAAAAATACAATTAAAATAGCAAACCAGGGTCTTCTTTACTGAAAGCTGGCATAGTACCCATGACCCCTCCCTCTGCCTCGGGCCACCTGCAGGTAGGGTCAGTGGTTCCATAACCGCTCTGGACTCCCTCCCCACCTCATCCCCACGCCCCTGTCTCAATGCCAGTGCCCCTCACCTTTGTCCCTGGCTCCGCAAGCCTTTCTCCTGCCTCCCCCCATTGCTGACAGGAGCCCCGTTAATGTGCACTGGGCACTATTACCAAGTTCATGGACAGCATAGGGATTAAGAGCGTGGAGTCCGGAATAGAATGTGAGAGCTCGAATCCTGGATCTACCTCTTACCAGCTGCTACCGAACCCCCTGTGCCTCAGTTGGCCCATCTGTGAACCAGGGGAAAAAATAGTGCCTGCTTGGTGAAGTCGTCATGTGGGTTAAATGAGCACATACTTGTAAGGTTATCAGAGGGGGGCCTGTCACAGAGCATGCCATCGCCACATGATATATGTCGGTTTCTATGTTAGCCATCGCTGATTCTTATAGTGCAACCGGGACAACATCAACCCTCTGGTCCAATTTAACCTCCCCGGTCCTGCACCCAAGCCTTCACCGTCTGCCCTCCCTTCTGGCCCTAACCCCCCAAATTCCCACACAAGTACATCTTCAGCCTCAGAGAATTGCCCTGCCAAGGGCCTTGTCCTTAAAAACAGGTTCCAAAAAGCATATATTCCTAAATCCATCGGTCTCCGGGAGCTGGGTGGCCCGGGCATATGGCTGCCAGTGCCACCAGCCAAAGGCCAGCAAAGCAGAGGCATTTCTTTCTGGATTCAACTCTGTCCATTCTATAAAAATTCCAGAGTGGAAAGCTCACACTTGGGGCACCTGAGGCTCCCTGAGGACATCTAGCTCTTTCTTACCCTCAGATCTTCCTGAGCGCTGTGCCCTGGCCCAAAGTGCCCTCTCCCCTCACTCAGATAATTCACACATAGACAATGTTCCTATGGTTCATTGTTTATGCCGTGTTAGTGTTTATTTTTTATGTTATGTCACTGTTATCTGATTCAAGCAAGGAGCACATTTTTTAGAAGCTTCCCTAATTCCTCCATTCATTCACTTACCTATTCACCAGTTAGTGAGATCCTGTGCTAGATCCTGAGGACAGGGAGGGGAAAGAGGCAATCCTCGCCTTCAGAGGTTTCCAAGCTGACTGGACTGCTCCCTCCCTTAGGGGTACTGGAAGCAGAATTTAAGGGTCTGTCTGCCCTACCAAGCTGTGAGTGCCTGCAGGCATCGACACAGGCCCTACTTGATTTTACCAACATACATCTAGTTATCCTAGTTAAGTTATGTAGCACCAACACATGACAGTCCCTCTGTTTTACGTGCAGTATTTTATTTAGCCCTGGTGACAATCCTATGCAATAGGCACTATTATGATACCCATTTTACAGATGAGGCAACTGAGTCACAGAGCAGTTGGTCAACCTACTTAGGAAGACAGAGGATATAGATCCAGGGCTTGAATCTAAGTCTTACCAGTCCATCTAGACCAGGGTGTCTCAGCCTCAGCACGACTGGCATTTTGAGCTGGATCCTGCTTTGTTGTGGGGGCTGTCCTGGGCACTGTGGGATTTAACAGCATCCCTGTCCTTGGACCCCCAGATGCCAGTGGCACCACCGCCCAATCATGGCAGGAATGTCTCCAGACATTGCCAAACGTCCACCGAGGGTAGAGGGGGCAAAAAAAATCCCCTTGCTTGAGAACCACTGCTCTGGAATATTTTCCTGTATCCCCAAACTAAAGACTGCAGCCGTCTCCTTGAATCCATGAAAGAGCCATCAAGAAACGGGCTCAGGGGTGAGAACCATGGCTCTGCAGTCTCCACAGGACTCCGAGTCTCTCTCCACCTCCATCCTGTAGGCTTTAAAAGGAAAGTGGATCAGATATCATCCGATGATTCTACCAACTCTGAAATCATGTGGTGTTCTTACAACATGGAAATAATGTTGAGGGTGGAGATCCAGAAGCGGTGTGTGTCTCTGAGGCACGAATTGCAGCTGCCTACTCCACCGTGCCCCTGGTTTGATGGACGCATCAAAATGGCCCCATAATGGGAACCTCCGGAACAAATGGTCAGTGAAGCAGCTTGTTCATCCTCTCATTTGTAATCCGGTGAATTGGACAGCTACTCCATAGCACTCTATGAATTTACTCAATATACTGCAACACCCAAAGGAATAGAGAGCAATAAACAGTATTATAGCACTCAATTATACTCGGAGAAGGTAGAGGATAACTAGAGAATTCTAAAACAGAACCGTTCTCCTTTGCCTGAAATGATGCGCTATCTCATTTTTTTAACAATATGAATTCTCTAAAATAAAATCTGTGTTAAATTTAACTGTTTTTCCACAGAGCTTTGAGGTTCTCAGAGTATGAACAGGTAGGATCCTGTGATGCAGTGTCGAGTATTTGCACAGCACTTTATAATGTGTGACCCTGTTTTGTTACCCACATTTTATTTTCCCAACTCTGTGAGTTGAACAGAGCTATCTGAGCTATTGTCATTCCTTGATGAAGAGCCTGAGGCCCAGAGAGTGCCTCAGGTCACATGGTAAAACAGTGCCAAGGGGACAGCCACCTGTGACCCCAGACAGAGGCATCCATCACTTGACAAAGAGCGTGCGTTGACCTGAGAGAGGGTCTTCTCTGTGTGCTCCATGGTGCCCAGGTCTGCATTCATTCGATGCCTGATTTCGAGATTGCTACTCAACAGAGACAGGGTTGGATGGTGGGGAAGTGGTGAATTCCAGCTGAATCTGAACAATGAGACCTAACAGAGCACCTTAGAAAAAAGAAAGAGGGGGGAGATGGGGAAGATAGGCAGAACACAATTGTCCAGACAAAATCAGAATTAAAAAAAAAAAAAAAACTGGCTACAACAAATATCTGCCAATTATCAAATCTAGACCAGAATGACAACATTGACAATGTGAAAGTTTGCAAATAGGGCCACAGTAAGCCCCCAGCAAACTTGCAGATGCAGGGTCCTGGGGAGAATTCTCAGGAAGAAGTAGCTGGGGGACAGCTAATAATTCATTGCCCACCACCCTCCCATCCCTCCGAAGGGGCCTCCCCTCTGTGCACAGCTTTGGCAGGGAACGTAGCCCCTGGTGTTCATTTTGCCCTCGGACACTGGAAACGACATATTGCTGTGAAAAGAGCACAGGACTGCAAATCGAGATTGCTGCTCCTTGATGTATTTTGCCATTGACCATCCTGACGACGCTCGGTGAGGCGTTGACCTCTGGGGGTACATGATCCTCGCTTGTGAAATGACTATATTGAACCAGCTGGCCTTTAAGGTCACTTTTTGCCTTAAACGTCAATAAAGCAGGGCAGATGAAGAGAAAAGAGCTAGATCCTTGAAGTTTAACTGAGATCCGTACCATCTCTACCTTTCCTTTTCTCCCCCACTCTGTCCAGGCAGTGCCTTTATTTTCCCCCATTAAAACAGGATAGGATCTGATTCCATTATTTGCACATTGGCATGGCACCTTTTATACCAACCCATGGTCTCCCATTATACTTATATAACAAGGCTTTGCATCTACTCTAGTCCAGACGAATGGAGTTTCAGCTGAAGCAGAGAGTGGAGATTTGATGTGCAACAAGAACATTCTTCCAACACTTGTTAAGCAAGTACTTGGATAACCTGGCTGGAATCAATTCAGAAAGTCTGTGTGGATAGGTCAAAAGAGGAAATGTGGAAGACTGCCCTTTCTTCCTACCTCCTTACCCTTCTGTTCTCTTAATCCCCCTTCCTTCCCAAAGGCTTAAGAGGATAGGACATATGGGTAAAGTTCTGGACATGTGAAGAATCTTGTTGTCCTTGGACCCTGAACCTGCCATCATCCCTGGGGTCCACCCGTCTGGGAGACTCCGTGTGCTTTTCCACACACGCAGGAGCTAGATGTGTGTAGAATATTCTCCTGCAGACAAGTAAACTTGCTGCAAGGTAAATCTAAAACACTACACCTATGAGACATTTGGGCTTTGTGATAACTAGGAACAAACAGTAAGAAGTCCATTAGTTTAGTTGTATGAGTTTTGGTTAGTCTGGGGCTTCTCACTTTGCTGGCACTCTCTTTCCCAGTGGACATGCACTCCTACACCCCCAAACACACTCAGGGGATTTACCTCCATGCAGCAAGGCATGTCCTTCTCCTGGACATCTTCTCCATGAGATGATCCAGGTTCTGCCTGCAAGTCCCATCCTTCACCTGCCCAGATCTCCAGAACTCTGCCCCCACATCCTTCCTGTCCATCCTCTCGCCTGGAGGGTCCCCCACCAGCAGTGAGTGCGGGCTTTGATTACTAGATGAAGAAGAAGAAAACAAGAAAGCTCAAGAGAGAGAAGAGAAGACCCCAAACATTCAGAGACACAGAGTGTCTCATTTTCTCTGATCCCTCGAAGGCCACTCCACTTCTCAGTTTATTTTGTGTCTCTCATTTTTCTTCTGAATACAGTGGTTAAAAGTAGATGGAGGACGGGGCGCCTGGGTGGCTCAGTTGGTTAAGCGACTGCCTTCGGCTCAGGTCATGATCCTGGAGTTCCAGGATCGAGTCCTGCATCGGGCTCCCTGCTGAGCATGGAGTCTGCTTCTCCCTCTGAGCCTCTCCCCTTTTGTGCACTCTCTCTCTCTCAAATAAATAAATAAAATCTTAAAAAAAAAAAAAGTAAACAGAGGAAATCTCTAAAACAGAAACACATGAGTAAGTAACAAGAGCATGAAACTGAGACTCTAGTGTCTGATGATTCCTGTGAACACTGTCCCTAATCGGTACCCCTTTTAGACACAGGGGCTCAGCCACGCCATGGCATTTAAAGCCCCTCATGTTGTGTATGTTTCTAATGTCCATCTGCACAAGTAGGAAAGAAGAGGGATACAAGTTCATGGCCCAGATCAAGGTAGGTTGATCTGCAAGAAAACCAGAAAGTCAGGAAAAAAAAAAAAGAAGAAGGAAGGAAGCTGAAATTTCAGGAGGAAGTGTTCTTCACCAAAGAGTCAAGCAACTGAGCGTAGAGTCCCTTGTTGTGCCTCATTTTGAGAACTGCAGTGATAAATGTGCCTGTGGATGCTGCAGGTTGTGCGCCCAGATTATCTTGTCAATAAACGGCAAGCAAGACTTCCTCTTAACACTGGTTTCTCCCTCCTGCTAGAAATAGAATGTCTAGTGTACCCGCTCTTATGGCAGGAGAGAAGGGAAAGAGAGAGGAGGAGAAGGTGAATATTCAAGCAACACGGCCCCTCACTGGGACACCGTAAAATGCAGCAAAAATATTGACTCCATGTATTAATCAAGTGGAGGAGCAACCCACGTGCAATTTCCCAAATAAGAGGTAGTTATGGTTACTGCGCTCTGGAAAGCAGGAGTGGAGGGAAAGTGTCCCTTCAGATAACTGCAATGTAAGGCAAACAACAGCTTAATAAGTGGCAGGAGCTCCCTCACAGTTTAAAAACAGATGGGCTTCGCTACCCAAATTTTTAGCCACGCTGCAATTTGGAGAGTCTGTCATCGCCTTTACTGAATCTTTAAAACTCCAAGAAGCTTCAAGAATGATAAAATGTCACTCTGGAAACTTGGGTGCTGTATGTCTCATGTGGCCAGCAGTAGAAAGCCTTGATCACTTTCAAATCATGATACAGAGGACAGACATTTATGTATTTGCAAACTTTGAACAGGATTTTGGCTAAAGTACTTTTAGAATCGTTTTTGGTTTTTGCCATCCAGTATCTAGGATGCTAACAAGCGGGTTACCATTCCAAGGTTAGACCCATGAATCATATGTGTGTGCATGTCCGTGTGCGTGTGTGTATGTATTCCCAGTGTGAAATGTAGATTTCCTTCCTGCCAAAGATAGGGTGAGCACCTCGTCCCAGTATGTTCAGAACTTTCCCAGTTTTAGCACTGGGAAGTTCCAGTTTCCTGGGAAATCTCTCAATCCTAGGCAAACCAGGACAGACAGTCACCCTAGCCACAGGAGCCTTTGGCTCAACCCTTCCAGATGCTACGATAAGTGGTAGTAGAGTCTTTTTTCCTTTTCTTTTTCCGACTTTATGGAGATACAATAGACATAAGTATTGATTCGATACATTTATACATGGCAATGTGATTACCACCGCAGCGAGAGCTAACACCTCTATCCTGTCACATAATTGCTAGTTCTTTTTTGTGGTCAGAACATCTAAGATCTACTCTCTTAGTAACTTTCAAATATATAAATATAGTATTCCCATCTACAATCACAATGCTGTGCATTAGATCTTCAGAGCTTATTCATCTTCTAACTGAAAGTTTGTACTTTTTGGCCAATGTCTCCCCATTTCCGCCACCCCTGGTAGCCACCATTTCGACTCTCTGTTTCTATAAGTTTGGCTTTTTAAAATTCCATAGGTAAGTGGTGCTACACAATAATTATCTTTCTCTGGCTTATTTCACTTTGCATAATGCCCTCTAAGACCATCCACATTGCCCTCAAAAAATTAAAAATAGAACGACCATATGATCCAGCAATCCCACTTCTGGGTATACCCCAAAGGAAGTGAAGACAGGGTCTCGAAGAGGTATCTACACCTCCATGTCTATCACAGCATCACTCACAATAGAGCTTTTTTTCTTGATATAAGTCTGTGGCACCTTAAGGAAGCCATGGAAACCCACTCATCCCCTGATCCTGACGTAAGAACTTTGCTTACTTTCCATTTGGAACTGGAAGCCAAACCATTGAAGACAGAGGACCTTGTCCGTAAACCAGTCCCACAAACAAACTTGGAATTAACAAGACCTCCAAGTGTTCTTTCATCACAGGCCCTGTAGGATGTTTAAGAGGGGTGACCATAGCATTTTTTTTAAAAGGTGGAAGCAGACCTGGCTAGTTTAGGAGACCTAGGTTCTTGTCCTGGTGCTGCTCTGATGGACTGCATAACCTTGAGAAAGGAACTTCATCTATGTGGTTTACCAGCCAACTGGTTGACCAGCCAACTGGTAGGTTGGGCTGGGGTTCTTTTCCCAAGGGTCCAACTCTCTGTATTATCCCCTCCCAGCTGCATGCTGTTAACCCTGCTCCTCTCCAATAACCTTCATAAGCTTGTGTGTCTCAGATACTGGGCAACATGAGTCAATAATATAGAGCTTCAATAGGACATTTTTCTTCAAGCTACCGATACGATAAGGTTAGTGAACAACAGTTTTCTAGAACATTTACTTCCTGATAGGATTAACATCTCTCCCCAAACTCTGAAACACTTTTAGAATTTCTACCATAGGGAATCAAGTTACTAAATGACACTACACCTTTATGTTTAATTACTAATGAAAAGAAAACAATACGGCATCATTTAACCAAACCAATAGATAAGATGCCTTTATGGGATAGAAGAAACTATGTTACAGTTTTAACCTGTCTCCTTTAAATAGAGAGATCTCACGTATTTTTATCAAAATGCTGTGCACTTCTTCCCATTAACACGTGATTCTCGTTTTTGGTTGTTATTCCCATAATGGCATTTATTTTAAAAATAAGATCTTTTCATACCCACGCAGCCATGATAAGATAATAAGACAACAATGTATCCATTGTGGCTCATTATGAAAGTTGCAGAGCCTAACACAACAAAGCTTTGTCCTAGACTTAAAGGAACAAATTTGTCTCCCTCATCTTCACCTTTTAACCCTGTAAGGCACTGTCAACAAGCCCAATTCTTTATATGATCACACTTTTTTTGTTAAAGGAGGAGTAGGTCAGTAAAAATTAATTAAAAGAGTTGCTTGAGCAGAAAAAAGAAATTTACCGAACAATTTCCCACTTCTTGGTGAAAAGCTCATCTCAGGTAATAGTGTCTCCTGAGCAAGTGGCTTTATTTCTGATTTAACAGTAGGATATTTCTTAGCTCCCTCATCCCGTCTGCATCCATTTCACAATGACTGAACAAATGCAATTAGCCTGCAGTGAGCCAAGTAATGGTTTTCTTAAAGGACTGGGAACACTTTCTTAGACTAATATGTACAGACGTCTGCCGCAGCTTCTTCCAGACAGGCTCCCATTAGCAGCAACCACATGTTTCTCCAAACGTCCGCCCTGGTGCATTTTTTTACAGGAAAACAATGCCCGGGCATTGAAGAGCTAGATGAGAGTGTGAATGGGGAGAGGAGGCTCACTGCCTTTTCTAGCTTGTGAGCTCTCCCTGGAAAGAAAAGCAACTAACATTCCTGGCATTCCTACTCAACATTGGGTATTGCACGAATGCCTTTTACGTGCATTACACAGCATTCTGGAACTTCAGTTCTATGACAGCAGAGACGTCATCTGTCTTGCTCAGGGCTGTATCCCTAGCACACATGGGAGGCACGCAAAAAATATTTGTTTGGGGAAGCAACCTGAAGACCCCGAGGAGTCATCTCCATCCTCGGATGGAGGAGAATCCAAGGTATTTTCTCCCTGCTGGGTGGTCCTAGAAACCAACTGGCTTCTCAGGAGTCCTCATAACCTGGGAATCTCCTGGAAACCGGAAGAAATACTTTCAGAGTTAGGGAAACATGGAAACATGTTTAGGAGTACATTTTATTCAATGCCGAGTCCATAAGTGGATAGTCCATGAAGGACCACTTATGGATAAAAGTATTTGAATGAGACTATTAATCTACTCTAGGAATGACTAATTAAACTGAACTAATTAAATTAGCTAACACTAATCTCCAGAATAACTGGGTCGTCTAGTATTCTTCAGCTATAGTTCTTCAATATGTCTTTAATAACAAATACTTGAGAGTCTACTATGGGTGTAAAAGGCACTGTCCTAGGGACAGTGGGAATTCCAAGCTGAAGCAGACGTAGCTACATTTGATCAGCTGGCCAGCATTAAGACTCCTGCATTCCAAGGGTACCTGGGTGGCTCAGTTGGTTGAGCCTCCAACTCTTGATTTCGGCTCAGGTCCTGATCTCAGGGTGCTAGGATCAGCAGGGAGTCTGCTTATTGCACTCTCCTTTTCCCCCTGCCCCCTCCCCACTCTCTCTCTCTCTCTCTCTCTGAAATAAATAAATAAATAAATAAATAAATAAATAAATAAATAAATCTTTAAAAAAAAAAAAGACTCCTGCATTCCAGCCCACTGATAACCATATTTCAACAAATCTAAGAAACGTTGATTGTAAGACACATTCTCATTTCAGAGATGGTATTTTTAACTCTTCCTGCACTTAGTCCTGCTCTGTCTGTCTTCTATCACCACACTGTCACTGACTCACACAGAGGAACAGGATAGGAAATCTGAAAGTGCTTGCTGGTTCAGGGCAGACCTGGAGCTCTTCTCACTGGAAAGTATGATATAGTGTGAACCCCATTAAACTCTTCATACCAAGCCTCAGTATCCTTCTATTACCACAATCTACTATATCACTTTCATTTGAATACACAGTTTGCACATGCACACAATTTAATTTAAATTGGAATTGACAGTAAAAATACATTTTTAATGACAAAGGGAAGTGATATGAGAATTGAAAAAAAACAGATTCTTATGCTTCTACACTCTTTGGTAGATCCATATTTAAATTCAATTGCTACACATTAAAAAATCCAATTTTTTCATAATCAGTGCAAAACTATTTGGCAGGCTCGATTCTGCATGCTTCAAGTGTATTTCCAACTAGTTACTCTAACATTCATATCTTCAGACTTATTTCAAAACCTGAAACCAATATTGCTTATGTTTTTGGAGCTAAGAAGAACTTGCCTAAACAACTTACTTTAAAAAAAAAAAAAAGCTAAGGGAGCCTGGGTGGCTCAGTCAATTAAGCACCTGCCTTCGGCTCAGGTCATGATCCCAGGGTCCTGGGATTGAGCCGTGCATGAGCCTGTTTCTCCCTCTCCCTCTGCCAGCCACTCCCTCTGCTTGTGCGCGCTCTCTCTCTCTGTCAAATAAATAAATAAAATCTTTTTAAAAATTAAAAGTAATTGTAAGAAATCATTTCTATCTTTTTTTGGTTTGGGGGAGGAGGAATGAAAATTTACCATTGCTAAGTAGATTTTCCCGTACAAAATAAATCAGGACTTCCTTATTGTAATGACTTCTAATACTGAATCTTGGAGATTTCTAACATATGGAAACTTGATCGGTAAAGAAAGCAAAGTTCCCTGGAAGACTCCCTCTTTTGTAAACTTACCATAGCAAAGACATTCAAATAAGGAAGCAAAGGGCATAAGTATGAATCCCCTGAACCATCAGCTTCTCAAAGGGAAGGGATGGACACCAAGTTTCAAAACAGTTGGCAAGTAACAGGCTCTTAATAAATGTTTATTCATTGAATGGATAGAGAGATGGATGGATGGATGGATGACTTCATAACCATGTAAGAAGCGGCTATGATAAGGAAAGAACTCCAGGCCTATAGGACATTAAATACCAGCTATAAGAAACCAGTGTGGAGATCTACTTAATAGGACACATTATCTGAGAACAGGTTAGGTAAGATGGAGATCGTTGTTTGTTTCTAGTAGAGGTCGTGGATGTATTCTAATCTGTAAAGCTAGAGAGATTGTGCAGATTTACACAGAGCAGGGAGGCAACAGAGCCCAGGTACAGCTCTGTTGGCTTCCCATTGTGGACTCTGCAAGACCTAAATAGAGTTCCTGTGGGTTACTTAAAAAATTGAATGACTTCCTTAAAAAACTGAATGACTTCATGAATCATTTCTTAGAGATTGCACAATTTATAGGCAGAATGCAGGAGCAGTGGACCTCAACCCCTTGCATGCTCAATCTGTATCCTGAGCTGGTTCTCTAAAGCATAATGTTTTCTGGAATCTCCAGCAAGAAGGCCAGGGGCAGGACTGATGGATTTATGTCTTGAAAACCACTGATACAGTGGCCGAAAGGTAAACAGAACAGTCATTTGACCCAACACTTGCCTTGTCACATCTTCTAATCAAAGTGAGAGGGCAGATTCTGATATGGAACATTTTTGCCCACTGTGATTGAAGCTCTTCCCACCGGCCCCAGCCCAAGGAGCACCTTGCTCTGACTCACGCTCTGCCCCAGCGGCTCAGCAGCCGCAGAACTGCTGAGCTGGTTTTTACTTTGCCTCAGGTGTCACTGGCAACACTGTCAGTTGAGCAGGGATTGCTAAATCTTTATTCTGGGCCCTGAGGTGAGAAATAGCAAGTGCACAGCTGGATTTTCTGATCACAGGTTGGGTTTGTGGAGGCGTAGGCTTGGGGAGCGGGGGGAGTCATCTTTTCATGTGCTAACTGAATAGTCAAGCTGGAAGTAAAAATCTATAAAATTGAACAGGAAATCCTATATTTTGTCTGTTTCCAGTTCTCAGATGGAGCTATTCTTCAAAAAAAAAAATTGAAAAAAGAAGCAATTTTCTTTTAGTGGTTACATGAAACAAGTAAGACCCCCCCACACAAATAAAAATCATTGGATTTAAATAATTTAAATACAAAATCTGTCTTCTCTTTACAGCTTGTCTATAAACATCTTGTGAGTAGAGACCTTGTCTTTTACCTCTTTTATGCCCCTGAGTACAATTTATGGCGCCAAACACATGACAGGAAGTGAAAAAATACTTTTGGAAGGATTGAGAGAATCCAGACTTAACACAACTTCACTCTCCGTCAAGCAGAAATATGCGGACCTGAAAGGAGGCATAAATGGGATGTGTAGAATAAAAACTTTGCAACTAAAATATTTGGAAGGAAATACCCCTAGTAGAGACAGCAAGAGCTTACGAGCAAGAGAGTAGTTGGTTTCAAGTCCTGGCTCCACCACCTTCTCTCTGTGTGACCATCAGGAAATTAGTGCATTTCTGGAGCCTGAATCACTGACTTTACAGGGTTGTTCTGATCCTGTGAAAAACTTAAGTCAGATTAATGTCACCTCCTCTGTTCTAAGACCTCCCTCCAACAGCTTCCTGTCTCATGCCAAGCAAAAGCCAATGTCCTTATGAGAATATTCTCCCCACCCTGACCTCAACCTTTACTTTCTAGAGGAGCAGGGTGAAGATGGACCTTATATATTTTGTTGATTTATGTCATTTATTTTCTGTCTTCCTCCTACAATGTAAGCTCAGTGAGGACTGAGAATTCAGACTTTATCCACAGCACTTTGAATGGTTCCTGGAACTCAATAAATATTTGTTAAATGGATGGATGAGTTTCTAGCACAACATCTGGCATGTGGGAGATGCCCACTAAATGGAGATTTTCACCATTATTCTTATCATTGAGGATCTTCAGGATAAGCTAAGCTATGTACTGTGTGCTTTACATTACACACAAAAAGCAGCCTTTCTAGGAACAAAACCTTAAACATGTACAGTAAAAAGTTTTCATATATTAGTTTTAAGACCTCATTTCCTGGATGGGATTTTATTTTTTTTACTTAGTCCTAATTATACTCCAATATGCTCACCAATGGAATTACAAAGGAGAAAACAGGGAAAACAAAAGCTTAAGACCAAAAAGGAGATTGAGAGAGAGCAATAGAAGGAGTCGGAGACACCGGCTGAAGAGTAAAGAGGGGCTCCGAGAAGAAGCCTGACGTGGGAGAAAGCTGTAAGGGTCTGAGCGGGAAGAGCCTTCCTGGATGTGTGCTATTATGTAAGAAAATGCGGTAAAGGACAGAGAAAAGGAAGAGCCGTCAGAGAAGATCTGATTATAAAAGGAAAAACTTTTATGGCAAAAGAATAAGCATAAGCAAAGTGGAAAGACAAATGACACACAGAAAAAAACATTAGAGAGTCAGTAAGTCTAATACATAAAGAGGTTCTAAAAACAAGGGGGGGAAAGGGCAACGACTCTACCAAAAAGGAATGTAGACATATAAATGAATAGTTTATGGAAAAATAAATGTGACTGACTCTTAGATAAAAGGATGTTCAATCTTGCTCATAATAAGGGAAAAGCAAATTGAAATTATACTGAAATACCACCGGATTGAAACACATCAGATATGGTTACAACTATATGTTCGTTAACGACACAAACAGGCAAAAAGTCTTCGTTGTTCCTCCCTGGAGGATGCCTGAGAAGCAATTCATTACTGGGAAAATAAGCAAGTGAAGAGAAGGAATCAAGCATTTATCCTGCCTTTCCTAAATGGACTGTCATTCAGCGTAATCAAAGAAGTGATAACGGGAATTTTCTCTTTATAGAACTGTCCCAGCTAATACATGAAGAATGATGGAATTGAAATACCACTCTTTTGCAACCCCTAATGAATTAATGTATTGGCAAAATTCCAAAATTTGACAATATGTGCTTCTTCTTTACCCTACCTATCCCACTTTTAGGATCTAGCCCAATTATACACAGGCAAATATTTGAAAACCTGTATTCAAAAGATTATTCATTACAGCACTATTTGTGAGATTGCACAAAACTTGGGGGAACTCAATTGTCCATCAGTTAGATGCAAGGTGAATTAACCAGATACATCCATAAAGTTCCAGGGTACTTTGCAGTATTAAAAAAAATAAAAATAATAAGGAAGATTTCCATTATGAAGTGATCTCTAAGATGTATGGTCAAATGAAAAAAGCAAGGTGGAGAATAGTAAATATGATAGGCTAAGAAAAAACGGGAATATGAATATATAGGAATTTGCTTAAAATTAAAAAAAAAAACATTAATGGTTGCCTATAGAAAGAAGAAGGAATAGGATAGAGGAGATGGAGACTAAAGCTAGACTTCTTTGACTAAATCTTGTTAGACTTAATCTTAAGACCATAGTTACAAAACAAAATTAACTTAAAAAAATCCCTAAGAATCAAAAATAAAGTGAATCAAATGAACTTAAATGATACTGAGTAGATAGTATAACCACACAAAAAAACTAATTCTATATGTTGTTAAAACACGTTCCCAACTGTACATCTCCAGTGACAACTCCCTAAGGGAAAAATAACTTCAAACAAATCTTAAATTGTTTTCAATAAATAAATTGCTCCTGTAAATGTTGATATAGTGATTTGAAATGTGTATGTGTGTGCTATGAGATAATGCAAATGATTAATTGCATTGGTGTCACTGAGATCCTGAATTTTAACATAGAAGAAAAGATTTGAATGTAAGATTGATGAGGCTAACCAAAAACACTATGGCCCTAAACTTTGAATTGGGAGTTTCGGCATGAACTCTGGATAGAGTTTATCTTAAACAGCAAATAAACACACAAAAATATTTCCTATCTCTGTGTATTCCAAGTCCCAGAATCAGTGACCAGCCCAACAGCAATAAGAATCCCCAGTGCCCAGTTTTTGGTCTTGACCCTAATTTTCCCATTTAAGGGAATAAGTGCTCCTTGGAAAACAGGCTCTTACAAGTCCGGGGCTTGTAGGAGTCCAAATATCTTATCATACCAGAAAGCAAGGAAGCTATCAAAGACTGCTAGGGTTCTATCAAAATAACTTGGGGTCCAAGTGAAAACAACCAAATGTCCATCAAGGGATGGATGGGTAAATAAAATGTGTATACCCATAGAATGAAATAATATTGAGCAATAAGAGGAAACAAAGTATAGATATCTGTTACAGCATGAATGAACTTTGAAAACATTTTGCCAGGTAAAAGAATCCACATATCGTATCATTCTATTTATATGGAATGTCCAGAATAGGCTTATCCATGGAGACAGAAAGTCAAACAGTGGTTGCCTAGATCTGGGGGGTGTGAGGGAGGAGGACACAGGTGGAGGGAAACTGGGAGTGATTGCGAATGGATACAGGGCTTCTTTCTGGGGTGACAAAAATGTTCTAAACTTGATTGTAATAATGGCTGTACAACTCTGAATTTACTAAAAACCACTGAATTATAAACTTTAGATGGGTAAATTGTATGGCATGTGAATTATCTATCTCAATAAAACTATTTTAAAAATTCAGGGACCAACCTGGTCAAAGACAGCCAAATTTGATTTCCAATAAGGACAATCAATGCATTGGATTAAAATATGTGAAATATGGTTAAACCCATAAATTCATAATGATACTAAAAAAAGTGTTGACTGTCTTTGAAAAAAAGTCTAGGGACTCATTATTATTAAAATCAGTAAGTAAAGAGAAAAAAATTCAAGCATTTATCCTGCCCTTCCTAAACGAACTGTCCCTCAGGGTTATTAAGTCAGTGATAAGGGGTAACTTTTACTTTATAGAAATAATCCAGCTAATAAATGAAGAGTGAAGAGTGAGACCATCACCATTCTGCAATCTCTAATAAAGTAATGGATTTAGTTAATTGAGGATAGTTTCATACAGCCCCCAAGCTAAGACTGGTTTTATATTTTTAGAGAGTGATCAAAGAAAAAAACAAGAAGAATGTGCTCCTCCACAGTGTCCAACATCAGAGAGAGCCAGATAATTTTTGCTTACTTCCAGTGGAAGGGAGCTCACCCCAGCACACAGGAGCAACCTTGCCAAATAAACCAAATCTGAATCTGATCCTCCATCCTCCTACCACTTCATAGGAAGTACAGCAGACAGAGGGATGTGTTCAATGTCCCAAGGAGGACGAATCAGCAAAAGCCAGACTGCTGGAGAATCTACAGGATAAACCCTCAGTTGCACTGGCAAAGAACTGCAGGGAAACCCTGCGGATTAAGACTGACGTGAGAGAGATGTCACCCAGTGTGCCTTGTTAGCATCCTGATTGAAACAAACAAGAAACACACATCTATAACACACACGAGGATGGGGCGGGGGGGGGGGGGGGGGAGACACCCACGGAGGACAACCTGGGAATTTAATGATACTAAGTCAGTCCTGATACAAAGCCATTCCCATTACTTTTGCTTAGGTGTAATGATAACACGATATACAATACACACATATATACTTTACCTATTTTAAACACCTAACAAGTAATTGAAGTTGCTCGGAAGCCAACTCTATTGTAGCAATGAGCACCTCTGTACCGCGTCGCCCCGTCTGTGTTGGTCCCCTGCTGGCCTTTCCTGCACTTGCCCCCACATGCCCCATCCACTGTGGTCTCCTTTTCACCAAATAGGAACAGAGAAAGGCCCCCACGAAGAGAGTCTTTTCTCTGCAAGAATCAGATCCCCAAGACTAAGGTGTCTTCAATCAGAAATGCTGCTCCTTTTTCTCCTGAAAGAAGAGAGAAGCAGTTTCTACGTTCTCGGCATCAACTAAGGAGCTTGTGAAAACCTACTTGTGCCCATTGTGCCCAAGAACTTCCCTCAGACCCTCAGAGGCAGCCATGGTTCCCAGCGTCCCGTGTTGACGAACTTTGTCCTGAGCAGAGCCCATCAGAAAGCTTCAAGTGTGGATCCGCATGACCGCTGCCAACATGTTCTCGGTCACCTCCCCGGGATCCGAGGTTCCTGGGCAAAGACAGAAGCCAGAGAGGGAGCCGAGCACAGGCAGCCGATGGAATTGGGGAGTCAGGCAGCTCTACCCACACAGGGAGAAATCTGATCCCTTGTTACTCAGACTCCAGTTCAGCTTACATTGCGACTTTATTGGAAATGGGGTCCTTACAGAGGTAATCAAGTTAGAATGAAGTCATTAGGGTGGACCCTAATCCCATATGACTGGTGTCCCCTAGAAAGGGGAGATTTGGGCGCAGACACACAGAGAGGCAAGAGGAGGTGAGGAAAGGCAGGAAAAGACACAAACCACAGAGAAAAGTCTGGAACAGATCCTGCCTCACCCCTCTCAGAAGAGACCAACCCTGCAGACACCTTGATTTGGACTCCTGCCTCCAGAACCGGGAGACCAGAAATGTCTGTTGTTTAAGCCCTCTGGTCTGTGGCTCTTTGGTGACAACCCTAGAGCACTAACACAGCGGGTAACTCACTCCTGCCCCTTCTCCTGAACATCCCTGTTGTCCGAGCAGATGTTACCCCACCACTGCCCCTCTCACGGCCAGCGATCAGCGACCAAACATGGAAGTACAAAAGGCTGGCCTTTTTGCCTCAAAAGAAAGCAACGTGTGGCATGACTCATGCTCGAGAGGCTTCCGTGGGATCAGGTTGAAGCTGGCCTCCAGTGGAGCCCACATCCTCGCTTAGCTGTCCCTTCACCCCCCTTCCCTTCCCCGGCCCCTCCCTCCCTTGTCCTGAGAGCCCTTCTTCAATAAACCCCTTGCACAAGTTCTCCTGTCTCAGGTTCTGCTTCTGAGAGCCTGACTTTAGACACTTAGCAACTGAGTAAGAGTGTCTGGGTAGGTGGGGATCTTTCTGGCCCCTACCACAACTTCACACCACAGACGCAGGTCCTGACTCCACCCCCGTTTCCTTGTCTCCAGCTTGACTTCCTTCCTCCCAGAAACCTCCTGGCTTTGACAGCTGGGACACGGGGGCACCCCAGAAATCCAACACCATCAGGCATGTTCCAGGGACACAAAGTCCCCCCCTTCTCTACACTGAGCTGCAAAGCAGAGCCCCAGGGACAACGGCCCATTTAATTCCCCATTGCTGCTAGGGCTCCTTCCCCATGTACTTGGCTTCTGCATACGTTTTAATGTGCCACTGTGTTGGGGAGGCCTGGGGATCATTACAGAAGCTGCTCAAGTCCTCGTCAGCAAGCCTCACTAATGTAATGGATGAAGGGAGAAAGAAAGAAAAAGAAAAGGAAGGGAGAAAAAGCCTTACAGCTTTAAGATTCACTAGGGGAAAAAAAATCCACCCATTTTCCCACTAGATTTCACATGGCTAACAGCTTCATCTCCCAGTTTTCTCTTGCAATGAGAAGAAAGTATTTTTCTCTCATTTTGCAGGTGTCTGGGGGAAGAGGTGGGACTCTTGTGTTTTGTTTTCCTTATTTTTTTAAAACTTTTGATTGAGTTCCTCACTCCAGTACAGCCCCAAAATCACATGGGAAAGGAGAGATTATATAAATCACTTTCCCTTTGATCGTGTTTCAGCAGGTCCAGGCCAACCCACGCTTACAATTTATAGATGGCTTCCACATGTTTGCATAGTAGATGGTTTTGAGGGCGTATGCTTGCTCTTGGAAGCCTGCTCCCCGCTGAATACCGCTGTTCACACTTTAGCAAAGCATCTCAAAGGCAAGTCAATTCCAGAGTAAAAAGACTTCAGAAGCTCCTCCGTCCAGCCAGCTTTCCAAGGCAAAGCTACTGGGGAGTTGTCTCCAGAGATCAACTGTTTTCCTTTCAGAAAACATTCCAGAATATTCAGCCAAAGTTCTATCTTAAGTCGTCTATATTTTAAAATACAGCTGCAATATCAGGAGAAGGAACTGTCTTTTTTTTTTTTTTTTTTTAAGATTTTATTTATTTGTGAGAGAGAGAATGAGAGACAGAGAGCATGAGAGGGAGGAGGGCCAGAGGGAGAAGCAGACTCCCTGCTGAGCAGGGAGCCCGATGTGGGACTCGATCCCAGGACTCCAGGATCATGACCTGAGCCGAAGGCAGTCGCTTAACCATCTGAGCCACCCAGGCGCCCAGGAACTGTCTTTTTACTGTTGAGGTTTCTCTCCATCAGGATTTCACTTCTTCCTCTGGGTCATCCCAAAATTGACACCATTTTAGTCCATCTTTTTTATTTCTTATTTTTTAGGGACATTATTTTCATGTCTGTGCCCTAATTTTGATCTTATTTTTCAATCTGGCCTGTCATTGTAATTCCATTCATATTTGTGAAAATACGCTACTTGTCTAACCATCCTAGATTGAAGACTGAAAAATAAGCAAGATGGAGAACCTATGCCTGAGAATTTTAGTCAAATCAAAAACCACCTCAGTAGAATGTGGGGCAGAATACAATGCCTATCACAACAATTTTGCAAAGTGACGCAGGGGTAGATGAGAGTGACCCACTAGGGGCATTCAGGCTGGGTTTGAGGAATAGCCATGATTCCAACAGTTAGAAATGGGAGGGACATGGTTGGGGAATGCAAACATATTTTTGACGGAAAGGACAACCTGTTCAAAGGCCCAGAGGTAGGGGGACACAGGCCTTGTCCACTGCATGGAAGCCGATCCAGTGTGAGCAAACATAGAGGATGGATAGATAAGCAGTGAAGACAGCAAAGGTAGGTTAGCGCCAGGTCATGAGGCCCCTTAAAGGCCTGGGAGAAGAATTTTACCTTAATGTTAAGAAACTAGAAGCCATTAAAAACTTTTTGAACAAATGAGGGACTTGATTATATGTGGTCTGTGTTCATTTTCTAGGGCTTCTGAAGCAAAGTACCACAGATTGGGTGGTTCAAATAACAGAAACTTTTCTCACAGTTCTAGAGGTCTGACGATTAAGCTGTGGGCAAAGTTGGTTTCTCCTGAGGCCTACCTCCTTGGCCTTTCTCCTGCCCCAGATGGCTGTCTTCTCCTTGTGTCTCCTCATATGCTCTTCCCTATGTGTACCTCTCTGTGTCCTAATCTGCTCTTCTCATATGGACACTGGACCTATTGGATTAGGATCACCCCAACAGCCTCAGTTTAACTTAATCACCTCTTTCAAGACTTTATTTTCAAACACAGTCACATTGTGAGAGCACTAGGGGTTGGGGCTTCAACATGTGAATGGAGGTGGGGCACAATTCGGCCCACGACATAGTCTACTTAAAAAAATGCCCTTAAAGAGGATGGAGACCGAACAGAGCAAGAAGGCAGTGGGGCACAGGAGGCTGTTGGAAGCTGGCACAATGGGTCAGTGAGGAACAATGAATGGACCAAGGGAGTAGGACTTGAGGAGGTTTTGTGAAAATCAATGTTGGGGAGGGTGGTGAGGAACCAAAGATAACCCCATGAATCTCTATGAGTAGACCTGAACCTGGCATGGACTTTTGCATATAATAGCTCATCAGTAAGTAGGAAGGAAAGAAGGAAAGTAGAAGGGAAGGAGGAAGGAAGGAAGGAAGGAAGGAAGGAAGGAAGGAAGGAAGGAAGGAAGGAAGGAAGGAAGGAAGGAAGGGAGACGGAGGAGGGAGGGGGAGAGAGGGAGGGAGGGAGGGAGGTGGAAGGAAGGGAATAGAATAGTGAGAGAGAGCATTTGGGCAAAGACTAGGGTGGAAGGCAAACTGACTTTTAACAGTACTTTTGTTGTGCTTGGATTTTATAAAAATTACGTGTATCAATTCAAAAAATCAAAAACAAAAATAAAATATCAATAATTGTGCAACTTCAAAGGACTTTCCATTATGGGCTGGTTTTCTATATTACTGGACTCTCTCCCTGACACCCAGGCATGTATGCTGAGGATGCCATCCCAGAAAACAACCCAGGGAAGAAATCATAGTGGCGAAAGGTAAGGTCAACTTCCAGAAAGAGAAATTGAAATTCGCCAGAACCACAATAAAACAGTTATTTAGAGAGAGCAATTTGATATAAGAAAGGTGAGTCTTGAGCTCTCCCAAGGAGATTCAGTTACTAAAGGTCCCTCTGTCTTCTCCCCAAAAAGCTCATTACAAGGGGGCTTCAGGCTGTTGGGATGAGAGAATGGGATAACCCCTCTACAGTTATTAGTACCCTCCCAGGGCAGAGTAACTGCCCGATACTTGTTAGCTTCCTATCTGTCATGGATCACACTTTAAGGAGCTTTGTCCATGGGTCGCATGGACCAAAGGGTACAGCTATCCCTTTCTGATGCCCCCAAAACTCTTCCCCCCCTTACATCAGAATCCCAACTGTGTTCAGGGGTTAGAAGGCCCTGTGCTTCTGAGGACCAGGCTCTCTCTCCAGTCCCAGGATGAATCTTGATTGGTCTAAGCCAGTCACTGCCATTTTATACCTCTTGTAGGTGACTGATTCAGGTTTGGAAAGGATGCCGTCATAGTCAAGTGCCATGGGAGGGGGAATCTGCCGGGAAATATCTGTGAAATTATTCCCTGCTCATAAAAAAGGACAGAGCTACCATCTGTATGGCATGGGTGGAATTGTAGCAGCCTTCTTTAAACTGTGAGGGAAGCCAGCCTAATAGGACAAGCCAAGCCACCAAGGATAGCAGGGAGAGCAGGTGGGGTGAACTGAGTTCCAGTTGATTTTGTTGTTAGTTTATCTGTGGCTTGCAGCCAAAAGTCCCCTAATCTGTATAACTCCCTTTGGTCCATGTGGAAGGGTTTGGTTCCTCTTCACCTGGCACATCTCTGTTTCCTTCACCCAAACTAGGAGCAGAGTCTGGAGGTCCCTGGGCAGGGCTCTGTACACCAGCAGTCATCCAGAGCAGATTACCCATCCCTGAAACAGCTTCCTCTTGGAAGAACCTGGGGAAATAAGTACAAATTCCTGGTAGCCAAAGCTCACACATTTCATGCTGACTCCCTCCCAAGTTGGGCCTTCTGTTCTGGAGTGACTCTCATTGCTTTTCCCTGGACTCCTTCCAATGATTTCGGCATCCTATGCTCGTGTTTCTAAACCCCAATGCAGAATTCCAACTGTGGGCTTGTCAGCTTTCTCCAGACTATGTTCTTAGTGTTTGCCAGGCTTCTTTTCTGATATGAGTCATAGTGCTTTTCCTACTTTATCTGCCGATAAAGAAACAATTCAGCCTCTCCACCCTGCAACCCTGGGCTTTCTGCCATTCTCCCCAGATCCAAGCTCCTTGCTGTACCTGAAATAGTAGCCATCATAACAGTGCCTTACATCGCACGACACCGTTCTCCATAGTTTACAAAGCATTTATGTCCATAGGTGTCATCTAATTTAATCCTTGCAATGAGGTATGAAGTAAGTAAAGCAGACAGAAAGAGAAACACATTGAGAGAGGATGACCAGTTGGGCCAAGGTCAACTGGCAGATAGCTGGCCCAGGTAGGATTCAAATCCAGTTAGACTGAGTGTCTCTCCATCTAATTCAACTCTGTTCCACAGGTATTTACTCAGTTTTCCCTTTGTGCTTGGCACTTTGGGGCTTGCCTGGGACAACTGTGAGGATGAGGACTATGTTGGTGCTCTGCTTAAAAGACAGGGAAAGAGATCAAATTGATGCCAAATACCAGTGCCTGGAAGCAAGTCACCTTTCACTTTGTATTTGTCATGTAAATGTAATGTAGTTCCAGGAATTTGCTATACCCCACTCTTTCTACTAAGAAGTTCTTTGGTGCGTTCTTTCTTGAGCACTACATAGGGAAATGAAAAGGGAGTGGAGGATGGTCATTGTCTATGAAGCTGGTGCTTGGCACAGAGAACAGAGGTAAATGGGGACTGGAAAGGAAAGTCACACAGGAAGGAGGGCTCACAGTGGAGCAACCAGGACTTCCTTGGTGAGCTAATATAAACTGAAAATATTAGCAACATTTACCAAACACTTATTGTGCTCAATGTGTATCAATTAGTTATTGATGAGTAACAAATTGCCCCCAAAGTCCAGTGCCTTAAAACTACAACCATTTATCATTTCTGAGTTAGCTATGTGGTTCCAGTGATCTGAGGTGGGCTGTTGTTGGTTTGGCATGCTCGTGAGTCTGTGATCAGTGGGCAGAGTGACTGGGGACAGGCTGCCCTGGGATGGGCAGGATGGCTGGGGACAGGCTGCCCTGGGATGATCTTGGCTGGGGCAATCCTCCAATAGGCTAGCCTAGGCATGTCCTCATGGCAAAATAGAGTAGCATGAAAGGGAGCAGAAGTACACAAGGTCCCTGCCACCCTGTCACATCCACTGTGTCTTTGGGCCAAGGCATGTCACAAGGCAGCCCACACTCAGGGGTGGGGAAATAGATGTCACACCTTGATAAGCAGTCACTTGACAAAGGGCTTGGGAAAAGGGAGAGGTAAAGAATTGAGACCTATTCCATGTGTTGAATTTAGAGGGCTGAGATAAAAACCATTGATAAGTTTGTCTTAATTCTACCATGTGGGAAATAATTACAGGTTGGTCCCATGACCTGTTAATGCACACCAAGTAGGACCACTAGAAAAGCATCATTTGAGATGTTGTTGGTGACTACGAGGTCAAAGGGATATTTTTGCATGAGAGAAGATGGCAGTCCATGCACCTAGAAATAAAAGATCCGACCAAGAACAATGGCTTTCGTCAAGGTCACGGCTATCAGCACCACCCGGGACAATGCTATTTGGGAGGTTTTGAACACTCACCATATCCAGTAGCTCGTGCTCACCATCTGAAGACGGCTTTACACACATTGTTGTGTGTAATCCCCACAACATTCAAAAGTAAGGAATATTCTGCGATTTCTTACTGAGTTTTATTCAGCGTACTTCTGAGAACTCTGATGGAGAGAGCAGATGTCAGGTGCATCTGAGATGTATTGTACAAGAACACTTCTACTAGAGAGAGGGGGGAAAGATGGCGGAGGAGTAGGGGACCCTATTTCAACTGGTCCCCGGAATTGAGCTGGATATCTACCAGACCACTCTGAGCACCCACGAAACCAGCCTGAGATGTAAGAAGATCTGGATCTCTATAAACAGAATATCGCAGGAGGTTGGTTTCGAGGTACGAAGCGGGGAGCCCTGATTCTGCGGGCAGATATCGGAGGATAAACGGCAGCGGGAGGGAGCCTGGCCGTGGGGATCCTACACCGCCGGTGAGTGACAGCCTCCCGCACTGCGGAGGGGCGCAGACTCGCAGACCGGTAGCGTCGGGAAAGGACTTTAGGGCAGCCCCCGGGGTGGAAAACCAGACCGGCGGGGTCAAGCACACGCGAACCGCAGCCCCCCCCAGACAGAAACCGGAGCGACGGTCACGCGCACGCGAACTGCAGCCTCCAAGACAGAAACCCGGTGCGCCGGGGTCCCGCCGGTGAACTGCAACCCCCGGGGTGGAAACCCCGAGCGGCGGAGTCGCGCGCACACGAACTGCAGCCCCCGGGACAGGACCCCAAGTGGAGGAGTCGCGCACTGCGCGGACTGGGAGCGGTTGGCGGTATTAGAAGCACAAAGGGCAGAGATGAGCCCCGACCTGGAGGCAGGACTGGGGGCACTGCGGAGGGGCGCACAACCCAGGCCGCTGCAGTTTATAGCAGCATGGACAGAAATGGAGACGGTGTGGCCTGGAGAGCTCACTGAAGAACAGACTGAGGTCTCTCTGCTCTGAGGCAGAGGGTTGGAAACAGTCTCTTCTGCTCTGACTTGTCGAAGAGATGCAGAAAGCCACCAGGGAAAGGCGCCAGAGAACAAAAGCCCCCAAAACTGATTCCCACTGAGCCCATCTCCCGCCACAGGGGTGCAGGGCAACTCCGCCCAAACAGGGTTGCCTGAGTAACAGCGGGGCAGGCCCTCCCACAGAAGACAGGCTGGGAAAACAAGAGGCCAGCAACCCTAAGGTCCCAAGAAAACAGGTGCATCTTGCTTGGGTTCTGGTCAATAATTTGGACTCTACACATTCCCTCAAACACCCATCAACAGAATGACTATGAGGAGGAGCCCCCAAAACAGAAAAGACTCAGAGATTATGACTTATGCTGCACATTTACAAATGGATGCAGATATAACCAAGATGTCGCAGAATGGAATTCAGGCTAGCAATTGTGAAGACAATGGCTAGAATGGAGAAATCAATTAATGGCAACATAGAGTCTCTAAGGGCAGAAATAAAAGGTGAATTGGCAGAACTTAAAAATGCTATCAATGAGATCCAATCCAATCTAGATAATCTAACAGCTAGGGTAACTGAGACAGAAAAGAGAATAAGCGATCTGGAAGACAGTATAATAGATAAAAAGGGAAAAGAGGAGGCCAGGGAAAAACCACTCAGAATCCATGAAAATAGAATCAGAGAAATAAGTGACACCCTGAGGCGTTCCAATGTCAGAATAATTGGAATCCCAGAGGCAGTGGAGAGAGAGAGAGGGCTAGAAGATGCATTTGAGCAAATCGTAGCTGAGAACTTCCCTAATCTGGGGAATGAAACAAACATTCGAGTCCTAGAGGCAGAGAGGACCCCTCCTAAGATCAAGGAAAACAGGCCAACACCCCGGCATATAATAGTAAAACTTGCAAATCTTAGAACCAAGGAAACCATCTTAAGGGCAGTTAGGGGGAAGAGATTCCTTACGTACAGAGGGAGGAACATCAGAATAACGTCAGACCTATCCACAGAGACCTGGCAAGCCAGAAAGGCCTGGCAAGACATATTCAGGGTACTAAATGAGAAGAACATGCACCCAAGAATACTTTATCTGGCAAGGCTTTCATTTAGAATGGATGGAGAGATGCAGAGCTTCCACGACCGGCAGAAACTGAAAGAATATGTGACCACTAAGCCGGCCCTGCAAGAAATATTAAGGGGGGTTCTATAAAAGGAGAAAGACCCCAAGAATGATCTACAACAGAAATTTACAGGGACAATGTATAAAAACAACGTCTTCACAGGCAACATGATGACAATTAATTCATATCTTTCAATAATCACTCTCAACATGAATGACCTAAACGCTCCCATAAAATGGCACAGGGTTGCAGATTGGATAAAAAGACAGGACCCAGGGCGCCTGGGTGGCTCAGTCGTTAAGCGTCTGCCTTCAGCTCAGGTCATGGTCCCAGGGTCCTGGGATCGAGCCCCACATCGGGCTCCCCGCTCCGCTGGAAGCCTGCTTCTCCCTCTCCCACTCCCCCTGCTTGTGTTCCTTCTCTCGCTGTATCTCTCTCTGTCAAATAAATAAAAATCTTTAAAAAAAAAAAGACAGGACCCATCCATATGCTGTCTACAAGAGACTCATTTTGAACCCAAAGATACATCCAGACTGAAAGTGAAGGGATGGAGATCTATCTTCCATGCCAGTGGACCTCAAAAGAAAGCTGGGGTAGCAATTCTTATACCAGACAAATTAGATTTTAAACTAAAGTCTGTAATAAGAGACACAGAAGGACACTATATCATTCTTAAAGGGTCTATTCAACAAGAAGATCTAACAATTGTAAATATCTATGCCCCCAACATGGGAGCAGCCATCTACATAAGCCAACTGTTAACCAAAATGGAGTCATATTGATAACCATACGTTAATTGTAGGAGACCTCAATACTCCACTCTCAGCAATGGACAGATCATCTAAGCAGAAAATCAACAAGGAAACAAGAGCTTTGAATGATACATTGGACCAGATGGACCTCATAGATATTTACAAAACATTTCACCCTAAAACAACAGAATACTCATTCTTCTCGAGCGCACATGGAACTTTCTCCAGAATAGACCATATACTGGGTCACAAATCAGGTCTCAACCGATACCAAAAGATTGAGATTATTCCCTGCATATTCTCAGACCACAATGCTCTAAAACTGGAACTCAATCACAAGAAAAAAATTGGCAGAAATTCAAACACTTGGAAGCTAAAGAACACTCTGCTCAAGAATGTTTGGGTCAACCAAGAAATCAAAGAAGAACTTAAACAATTCATGGAAATCAATGAGAACGAAAACACATTGGTCCAAAACCTATGGGATACTGCAAAGGTGGTCCTAAGGGGGAAATACATAGCCATCCAAGCCTCACTCAAAAAAATAGAAAAATCCCGAATTCACCAACTAACTCTACACCTTAAAGAACTAGAGAAAAAGCAACAAACGATGCCTAAGCCATGCATTAGAAGAGAAATAATTAAAATTAGAGCAGAAATCAATGAATTAGAAACCAGAAACACAGTAGATCAGATCAATGAAACTAGAAGTTGGTTCTTTGAAAGAATTAATAAGATTGATAAACCACTGGCCAGACTTATCCAAAAGAAGAGAGAAAGGACCCAAATTAATAAAATTATGAATGAAAGGGGAGAGATCACAACTAACACCAAGGAAATAGAAACAATTATTAGAAATTATTATCAACAACTATATGCCAATAAACTGAGCAATCTGGATGAAATGGAGGCCTTCCCGGAAACCTATAAGCTGCCAAGACTGAAACAGGAAGAAATTGACAACCTGAATAGGCCAATAACCAGTAATGAGATTGAAGCAGTGATCAAACACCTCCCAAAAAACAAGAGTCCAGGGCCTGATGGATTCCCTGGGGAATTCTACCAAACATTCAAAGAAGAAATAATACCTATTCTCCTGAAGCTGTTTCAAAAAATAGAAACAGAAGGAAAGCTTCCAGACTCATTCTATGAGGCCAGCATTACCTTAATCCCCAAACCAGGCAAAGACCCCATCAAAAAGGAGAATTTCAGACCGATATTCCTGATGAATATGGATTCCAAAATCCTCAACAAAATCCTAGCTAATAGGATCCAACAATACATTAAAAGGATCATCCACCACGACCAAGTGGGATTTATCCCCGGGATGCAAGGGTGGTTCAACATTCGCAAATCAATCAATGTGATAGAACACATTAAGAAGAGGAGGGAGAAGAACCATATGGTCCTCTCAATTGATGCAGAAAAAGCATTTGACAAAATACAACATCCTCTCCTGATTAAAACTCTCCAGAGTATAGGGATAGAGGGAACATTCCTCAAGCTTATAAAATCCATCTATGAAAAACCCACAGCAAATATCATCCTCAATGGGGAAAAGCTGAGAGCCTTTCCCTTAAGATCAGGAACATGTCAAGGGTGCCCACTCTCACCACTGTTGTTCAACATAGTACTAGAAGTTCTAGCAACAGCAATCAGACAACAAAAAGAAATAAAAGGCATTCAAATTGGCAAAGAAGAAGTCAAACTCTCTCTTTTCACAGACATGATACTTTATGTGGAAAACCCAAAAGACTCCACCCCCAAATTACTAGAACTCATCCAGCAATTCAGTAATGTGGCAGGATACAAAATCAATGCAAAGAAATCAGTTGCTTTCTTATACATTAACAACGCAACTGTAGAAAGAGAAATTAAAGAAACGATTCCATTTACAATAGCACCAAAAACCATAAGATACCTCGGAATAAACCTAACCAAAGAGGTAAAGGATCTATACTCTAGGAACCACAAAACACTCATGAAAGAAATTGAAGAAGACACAAAAAGATGGAAAAATATCCCATGCTCATGGATCAGAAGAATAAACATTGTTAAAATGTCTATGCTACCCAGAGCAATCTATACCTTCAATGCCATCCTGATCAAAATTCCAATGACATTTTTCAAAGTGCTGGAACAAACAATCCTAAAATTTGTATGGAATCAGAAAAGACCCTGAATCGCCAAGGAAATGTTGAAAAAGAAAAACAAAGCTGGGGGCATCACGTTGCCCGATTTCAAGCTATATTACAAAGCTGTGATCACCAAGACAGCATGGTACTGGCACAAAAACAGACATACAG